ACACACTGTCACGGTACACTCATGGAAATACAGACATCATAGAAACAACCAATCACTACCCACTATATTGCTTATTGCACATCACATCAACACACGGACACCGTACACTCATGAAAATATTCGCTTTCCCTGTGTCATCTTGAAAGGTAGCCGTGCCTTTGAATCGAAGCGAGACGAACGGTGAGCTTGCAATGATGACCTTTTTTAACACATTGTTTTAACACCGTTCGTCTTGCTTCCATGCAAAGGCGCGGCTACCTTTCAAGACGGCGCAGGCAACTGTGGTAATCGTTTAACCACCATTGGTGAGTCGTTGGCATTTAAGAACTTTTTTATAAATTGTCTCAGAAGTCTTGATATTGAGAATCTTGTTTGAAATAAATGCTGTTCCTAGATTTCCAAACTCTAGTTATTTACAAGTTAAAACACAAAGTACCCTTAAATCAATATTTTCAGTATTGAATCTACATTGAGTGAATAGTTGAGTGAATGGTAAAATATTTGATGTAATTCGAGTGATGCATCTTGGATGCAGCAATCGGAACTGATGAGACTTCTAAAAAGTGGAACCTTGGTCACGCAATCACAGAAGATCACGTTTTTTGCTAATATTACCGACAATTCTAAAACCTTCCTAATGGAGATTAAATTTTTCAAACCACACTGCACTTTCAAAAAATGGCGCGAGCAATAATTTCTTAGTTCTCAGGGTAAATTTCATGGCAATCTTAATGAAAATCCTTATTCCCGCATTGATTAAGGAAGCATAATTATCGCATGTATTTCTACCAAATTCAGCAGGCGTTTCTATACATTATTTTTTCCAAATCAATTTTTGCAGTTTTGAAAAGATGTATTCTTCCTCAACTTGCAGCATAAATATGATTTCAATCAGAGATCTTGCAGATACCTAATTTCTTTCAGTAAATTGGCGTTCCTCAATGCTTTTGAATGTTGTTTAGCTTTTTAAAGTGAAAGAAAAGGTCTTTATACAATAACGACATATCTTAGCTTTTTAAATTGAAAGACAAGGTCTCTATACCATAACATGTCTCTCGATGCTCAAGAAAACAAATTTAAAGTCAGTTGTATAATCATACTAAACGGAAAAGCTCAATAAACTGCGAATATTGGGTTTAATTTTATATTTCATTCAATATTTGAATAAATTATCTGTAGAAATGCATAAAACTATTGAATGAAAGTCTTCTTTGGTTTGCCGATAAGACCCCGCGATAGGAGCCGAACGAAGCTGATTTTTCTTGAATGAAAAACGTACTATAGTTGGTTAAAAAAACCGAGCTCTTAAATAATTATAAAGCTAAATAAAGGGCGAATATTTGTTGTATTATGCTCTCCTTTTTATATTTCATCCAGCATTAAAATGAATTTTACTTATTTATAGAAAGGCTAAAAATTTAGAGAGAAAGTCTTTGAATTGTCGATTATCTTCGAAAGAAACTGCTTGTCATAAAAAATAAAAAAATGTACGATCGTCTGGAAAAAAACACCTGAATTCTTTAAGAATACTTCTTTATCCATCTTTGACTACATTGAAAGTTTTTTAAAATTGTTTTTGGTCTATAATGCGYCCAAATAAGCGATTTTTTTCTGTGCATTTCTGAGTAGTGTTGCTTTGAAATCAAGCGGGATTCCTGTGTTATGTACACGGACGTATGTGCGTATGTACGTATGTACGTACGGATGGACGGAAGTGACGTCAGCCAGGCCATGAAAAATCAACTCGATGAGTTACCAATTTTTCTTTATTATGGTTCTTCGCTCACGCTATGATACCTCATGATGAGAGCTCCTCAAAGATTGACTGAATTCAAATTCTTACACAGCCTAATATTGAACGCGCTTTTTACTTCCATGAGCTACTATAAATATTTTTACATGTTAAAGGATCATGCAAACCACCAAACCCTTTTTCTATGAGGTTTCATATCGGGATTGAATTTCGATGGAAAACCTGTCCCGGGTTTTTATTTCAGCATTGATATTATAACAGGGGAGAGCGGGGCTGAATTCAAAACCCCGGACAGGCTTTCCTTCGAAATTCAAACTCTACATCAAAAATAGAAATAGGGCGTGATTGTTTTTTAAACCAGCTTGGGACATTTCAGTCTGGACTTCCATGCTTTTTTGAACCCGATTTTTATGATTTTTTCAACTGAGTTTGCAAATCATTCTAATAAAACAGACTAGAGTTACGTGTGCAGCGAAAAGGTGAAAAAACATAAATATTTTCCAACTAGATCATTTTTTCCCTTCACCGAGAAGAAAAATACTAATGCACTTATATACATTTTGGTGTTAGCGGTGAACTTTATTTTAAACAAGTATTAAGAGGGTTACATTAAAATGACTCCTTCGTTAAATATATTGAAATAGCGGAATCAAGTGCTAATATATATATATATATATAAAGCTCTGAGATATATAGGGGATATCACATAGAATTAATCGCGGAGATACGATTTTATCTTCGAGTGTTGAGGAGATATTTTATGAGTGAGCGCAGCGAACGAGCGAACATGTAATTATTACGAAATTTCACACCGTAGTATTTTCATTATTAAAAAAATCCTTTTCCTTCTACTCCCCTGCATCGACGCTATGTTATTTTACTTTATTATGTCTTATCCATCGCCTGTATTTCCTGGCTTCACTTGACGTTATTTCCTTTCTCGTCTAACGCCGAAGGTTCAGGTTCATATATTTTGAAAAGAATTCTTTCTGTGAGACCACCATTGATGAGTTATTTACATTTCAGAACTTTCTTCGATTACATCAGAAGTCTTAACATTGAAAATCTTCTTATATTCAAACTCTAGTTACTTGCAAGTTTATACACTTGACAAAATTCTCGATTCTGATTGGACAGAGGATTAAATCCCAAATTGTTCTCTGTAGAGTCCCAATTAATTTGCTCAATTTTGTTTTGTGTTTATAAACAAAAAAATCGCACTATCTTCTCGTACAACTCGTAATTTATAGATACTCGTAATGTTTTGAAAGTTATCGAATTAAATTCGCCTAGAGGTTCGTCTACTTTTGAAAACTGATACTGACCATTCACAACGAACCAAAGCAAGTATCGCTAAAAATACTGTTTTCCTTATTATTCGTCCACTTTTGAAAACTGATACTGACCGTGCACAACGAACCAAAGCAAGTATCGCTAAAAATACTGCTTTCCTTATTATTTTCTTGTATAAACATTTTGAAAGTAAAAACTTTCATCCGATGACTACAAACTATGCGGATAAATATTTCCGCACAGATACAGTTAAATTACTAGATGATAAAGTCGAACAAAAATCTAGAACAATAGGTTTCCCAACCATTTCGCTCCATTGACTATGCCTGGTTTGACGTCATGTTGAGAATATTTTGAGGTCTAGAACATTCAGTTTGAACACGAGCGGGCAATAATAAAGACCTACGGCTTTTCAGGTTTAATACGCCAAAGGGTGTTTGCTTTACTCTGCTATATTTATTATTAACGACGTCTTACAGTATTAAATTATTATTAGGGTCTCTTTTTGAAGGTTAAAGGGAAACGATTGTATTCCTCTTACTTTGTACCGACCTGGAAATGGCAACTTGTACAGCTAGCTTGTCGTGCTTTGTTGTTTTCCTGTTTTATCTTATAGCGCAAGGTAAGTATAAAACCTTAGGATTATCAAAAAATCCCAGCGTTGGACATTATTTGCAACATATATATTTATTTATTTATGAGTTTATTTATTTATTCATTTTATTCATTTATTTTATTTATTTAAATTTATTCATTTGTTTTATTTGTCAGTTAAAAAAACAAAAACAAAAACTAGGCAGAATATGGACATTAGTATAATGATAATTATCTAATGCTACATTCATAGTTTGTACGAATATAGCAGCGTGCGCAGAGCAGGTCTTTAAGGTGAGCTATGAGTTAATAAGTTTGTCGAGGAAAAGAAAAAGCACAGTAGGAACAACAGACACATTGCTAGGTTGAGAAGACGACAAGACTTTCAATAGATCGGGATGCAAAGAGTCGAAAAGGTTAGAAGCAGAAATATTGAAAGCTAGGCTCCAAACTAGCTAGGTGATTGTCCAAATTTACTACTACATATTTTGCTAAGCACTAAAGTGAGCTCCAAGAACTCTTCCGAGACCACTGAACTTATACAAACAAAAACCACACAGAATTCATGCATTTGTCCCAAAGATGAACGGCATCTTTTTTTGATTTGAAAATATTGCACTTTTAAAAATCGAGAAAATTATTTCCGTTTTCCGATTCAGAACAAACGCGCGTCGGCTAGGTATATTCAGCGTTACAAGATACAGAGTTACGAAGATACAAAGATACAGAGTTACAGAGTTACAGAGTTACAGAGTTACAGAGTTACAGAGTTACAGAGTTACAGAGTTACAAAGATACAGAGTCACAAAATATATCTCATGTATCTCATGAAAGATATATAGACAAAGATATTAATAAGAGACCAAAAGAGGCTTTTCCGTGTTTTTTTTTTCATCTAAAGTTAAACGTAAGTCAACGAAATTCAAATTAAATACACCAGGAATCCAGATTGTTCACCTTCAAAACTCAAAAAAATCGTGGTACTGAAAAGAAGCCAAAATAGTGTTTGACCGCTAAAAGTCGTGTTTTACTCTAAAAACGAGAGAATAATGCTGTGAACGAAATGAATTAGAATCCAAACAATATAATAACTGTGAAATATTAGTATTACTAATATGTATGCTAATTCTATTGTTTTCTATTGTTCAAGAGCACTATTTTGTACAATTTGGTGGGCCCATAAAGGTCTCCTATGAAATGCTTCAGAAAACGCGTACTATCGCTTCGCCTTGGACTGAAACTGATTGAGCGGACTTGAAACCCCGTCCAGTCCAATATTGGAGGCTTTGAAATGACTTCTCATGACTACAGACTGAATTCAATCCTTTCACGTGACTTTACCAGGTTTCAAGTAACATCATGTGACCCAAAAATAGCCCATTGATTGGCTGGTTTCCTCATGAATTATTAATGAGCATGGGAAATGAAATTAATTTAACAATCAATTCAATTTCATCGAGAGGCAAATGCAATAAATACTCTGCTTACATGTAATTCAATATCGTTGTAACTCTATTTTCTTGTATTTTCTATTTTCTTGTAACTCTGTCTTATTGAAATTCGATATCTTTGTAGCTCTGTATCTTCGTAACTCTGTATCTTTGTTTCTTCGTAACTCTGTATCTTTGTAACTCTGTATCTTTGTAACTCTGTATCTTTGTAACTCTGTATCTTTGTAACTCTGTATCTTTGTATCTGAAGATATAGAAATAATGATAAGTTATAACTTATCATTATTTCTATATCTTCATGTATTTCATAAGTGCTACGCGGTCCACATATTCTTATCTTTGTATCTTGTAACGCTAATTAGACCAAGCCGACGCGCGTACTCCTCGCTTCTATGAAAATATAAAGGCGGAGTCTTCAAAAACATTCAAAAACCATGCCATTCCTGTGCTTTTATACGGAAAGAAATGTTTAATTCAGTATCCCATTCCTTGACAGAATTTGAGAAAAGTATCACTTCGACAACTCTCCAGTGAATACGGACACGACACAACGAAGTGGCTCAAAATATTTTTATTTCCAGTTTGATGCATTCAATTAAACAACTTAGGCCTAGGGCAAACGTCGAACTTTCCATGTACCGAACTCATTAAAAACAATGGATATCAGGTGATAATGAGGCGGCATTCTCTGATGTAATTAAGTTCGGTGCATGGAAAGTTCGACGTTTGCCCTAGGCCTTAGAAAATTAATTATGATTCAAAATTAACTAAATTTGAATCGCTAACTAATTAGATTGCTCATTTAACTTTAAAAAGGGACAAAACATGCCTAAAAATCATCACTGACTGTTTATTTCAAATTAACGAGACCCACAATGTCCTGTGGTCTTGGAATGCACTATTCAGTATGCAGTATTGAGTATTCAACCTTTTTTAAAAATAGCTGTATATATCTTTTTTTCTTATTTGTATATTTAACTTTAGCAGTTATTTCATACTTTGTGTTTCGCGCCATATTATGACTGCACTTAATAATAGTAATACAGTAATAATAATAATAATAATAATAATAATAATAATAATAATAATAAATAAACATTTATATAGCGCCATTTCCGTGAGGTCAATGGCGCTTTACAACAAATTATTTAAAATTATATTATATTAAAATTATATTAAATTCACTTGATGATTCGTTTTTAACAATTTCCAAAGTACGTTCATCACATACTAGTTTATAATTTAATAGATTTAAAAGTCTTTAATAAAATAATATGCGAATAAAAAATCTATTATAAAAATTAAGTATCTAAAGAGAAAAGTCTTTTGCTTTTAACTCTTGTGGCAGTTGATTCCATAACTTTGGAGCAGAGATTTGGAAAATTCGTTCACCATACGAATTTATGTTACTGTTAGGAACTTGAAGTAGGTTTTTGGAAGACGATTTTAATTGTCTTGATGGTGTGTAGCTTTGTAGTAGATTAGTCAGGTGATCAGGAGCCCTAGAGTTAAGTGCTTCGAATGTGAGTAGCAATATTTTGTAAGTAATTCGCTGTTTTACTGGTAGCCAGTGTAGTTCTTCTAATACTGGAGTGTATTTGAATGATTTCTATGCAGGGTCTTTTGGCTATAAAACGAGCTTTTACACAAAACTTACACATACAAAAAGCCACACTTCCCTGTTTGTTTGTTTGTTTGTTTGTTTGCAAATATTGTAAATAATTTTTCTTTGTATTTGGAGGTTAAACTATGTTAAATTTTATGTAATTTGTTCTTGGATTTCTTTCTTAAAGTTCCCGCTAAACCAAAAGTAGCATTCACGTCAAGGTCATCAAAAAAATCTGAAACGTCTGGTTTTGTTAGCATCAGCCTTGAAAGAACTGTTGACACAAACATACAAACAACAGTGAGGTAAGTATATATTTCGCATTTCTGCGTCTCTTTTTCCAATTTACCATTCTTCCTCCCCCGTCCCTCATCCCCCGTCCCTCCATCTCTTTCTTCTTTAATCTCCCTTTAAAATATTTGGCAGCCAAAGAACGCCGTAAAACACATTGTTCAATTAGACATATCATCCTTTGAAAAGCTCTAGATCTTTATCACTGGCTTTATTCCACTACTTTGTATCTTTTCGTCTTCTTCTTCTTCTTCTTCTTCTTCTTCTTCTTCTTCT